CATGCATGGGAAAACGTAGCCTCGCGCCAGTAATCTGCCGTGCTAAGGAGGAACGCCGTATGAACATTCGAGAGTTGCCAAATTTCCTTCGATAAAACATGTATTTTGGACGAAATTTATGCACATTTTTCTTTGACATTTTCGGATATTTTAGAGTAAATTGCGTACAAAATTGCCTGAAAATTCCGGAAAAAATTATTCAAAATTCTCCCAGCAAATTCGGTTTTTATCGAATGAAACTTGGCAACGCCTGAGGGCTCATACGGCGTTCTTCCGTAGCGCGGCAGTAATCCTCCCGATGAATCACGCGAGGGAATCCTTTCAGAAAGCTGGAAAGTTCCCCGTTGCAAATCCGTCGTACATTCTGCCGCGTTGCCAGTTCGCTCCCAAAGCTTTTTTCTCGCGGTGTGCGATAGGCGAGCCCTGCGCTAAAATCGGAAACGCTGGCGAGGCCCCGACGTCAGTCATTAAGTTGTGTTCTATCATTTAAGCGGAGCCACGTATTTTTGAATAATGCCGTCTCATTGATCAAAGTTGCCTCGAATTAGCTTTCTGTCGGCTGGATTGATGTGGTCCAGGGATTCGTCCGCAACTTCCTTCCGCCCACGAACTTTTCCGCGAAGCAACGTGGGCTTCCCCTCCACATTCGGACGAATTCGTGCTAAACGGAACTACGTGGAAATTAATTAAATTGAAAAGAAACGACGGGAAGAGGATTTGCATGTATCGTGGTTCGTTTCAGAGACAATATGTTTTAGAGACCCCCGCGATAGACTGGTTTAGTGACGACGGTATTCGAAGTATAATATCGAAATCTTGGTTCAAACCAAAACAAACTAATATAACCTCATGTACGAATTATTGATGAGTTAATGGAGAATTTGCTGGTGTCGGAAATTTGATGAATTTCGTGTTTAAGTGGAACCTACTGAGTGCACTTGACACAAAGACACCCCTCATTCATAAATTGAGCAATTATTTGAGGGAGATATGACAAAGTAACCGATTCTGCTAAAATACATGTGTTTAAATGGGAAATGCCGCCGGATGACGTCACTGGGGGGCGGTGCATTTACTCACTTTTAAATCTATTTTTAAAGCATTTCTCATGCCAGAAGAAAATTATAAAAAATACTGCGAAATCAGCTCTTTAAGCGCTTAAAAAAGTTGCGTGAAAATCGTGTTAATTAATTAAAATTAGTCATTGACCGGTTCTAAATCAATTCAAGATTCATTAAACATGGTAACTTTCGATCGCAAGAAACACTTGGACGCATTTTACCACCATGGCGCAAAAATAAAAAACAAGGTTCCGTGTTTGTTTACATTTGAGCCGAAGGTTCGATATTATATCGAATAACGTAGCCACTAAATGAGTCTGTAATAATTTAAACCAAAGGAGGATTCAGCAATTGGGCAACTTTGGATTTCCTCCATCTAAACCTATATTAAGTAATCGATTCTTGTCAGAGCACCTGGCTCCTACAAGAATCGATACATTTCCATAGGTTTAAATGGGGAACAAACGTTGACAGAAACGAAATCAGAATGCTGAAATCCGTACCTTGTCTGGTGGTCCATTTCAGTCCAGCTCAGAAGCTACTGCTTCTTCTCGTTCGAGCAAAATTTGGCAACAGGCAGATTCAAAAATGACCCCTGAACTCTGCGACGGTTTTTTATTTCGCACACAATTTTATCTGGACTAGTTCTCATGAATATTTGTTTCCATTTGTTTCACGACGAAGCGTGAACCTTATCATTTAGGAGACCAATTGTAGCAGGAGAAATTTCGGTGAAATACTACCAGAAATTTCGGCGGAGTACTACCCGCGAATGAAAACTAAATAACGTTTCAGAAAACTCCTTGAAGTAATATCCACGGACGAAGAAGAATATAAAATTTATGTGGAGTGCCAAGGGGAGAGAAAGAGAGGAGGAAAGGGAGTGACACACAGGAGAGACAAAGAACGAACTTCCGCCAGTACGGGTAAAAAAGGGATGAAAGGGTAAAGGGGGTTGTGCACGTTAAAAGTTATGCAGATTGCAGATAACACGTAATTGAAATAAATTCTCTCAGCTAGCGCACTTTTGTCTCTGTGCCAGGAGCTAGCCACCTTTAGCACCTCTGCCCCTCCAGCCCCACTTTCCCACACACCTACGGATACAAAGGTAATCGTATCAGCAGAAAGATAAATTATTTTCACCATTAGAGAAAGGAAAAATGGTGAAAATGATTCCTCAGATTTTCCCGCGCGCTCAAAGAAAAATTTAAACAGGACAAGCGGCGCTCTGAGGCACTCATGACAGATGATGTTCTCAGTGTGATTAAAAAAATTCACAAAAAAGTTAAACTTAAGAGCCCTCGTAAAAGACTGGCATTGTTGAATGGAAAGTACATACAGGGTTATCCAAAAGTCACTGACCACCCCTGTAACTTTTTTCCAAATTGAGATAGAAGTTTGAAACTTTGGGAATGTTCCTCGGTCTAAGGTAGCAACTTTTTGGTCCACCCAAAATTTTGGGGGGCGGCCCCCCTTAAGGGGGGCGGGGGCTAACTTTTTTTTTCAAATAGCAACCCCCCCTTTGTGATACCTCATTCGAAAGATAATAAAAAAAGAAAATTTTTGGCGCAAACCGCAGGTCAAAATGTTCATTTTTGACAAAATGGCGGCCGGTCAAAGTTCAAAATGGCGGAAATTTGGCATCTCCGTTGTTTATTGACGGATTGGTGTGAAACTCGGAATCCTAGGGTTTTTCGAGATGAGAAAAACGATTCTGGCATTGGTTTTCCAGAAAAGTCAGTCCTTTTCAAAATGGCGGCGGTCAAAATGGCGGCCTCGAGCGGGAAGTGGATATTTAGGCTGCATATCGTTGGATTTGCATGAAACTTGGTATCTGGGGGTATTTCGGCACGAGAAGAACGAATCTTTCATTGGATATCTGAAATTTTGACAAATTCCAAAATGGCGGCGGAAAAATTGCGGGAAATCAGTTTTACGGCTCTTTACCGATGGATTTGCATGAAATTATTTGATATTTCAAGAATCTAATGAAAGATTCCTTTTTAACCAGCCAAAAACCGCCAGGATATCGCATTTCATGCAAATCCATCGGCGAACAGCCGTAAAACTGATTTCCCGCCATTTTTCCGCCGCCATTTTGAAATTTGTCAAAATTTCAGATATCCAATGAAAGATTCGTTCTTCTCGTGCCGATATACCCCCAGATACCAAGTTTCATGCAAATCCAACGATATGCAGCCTAAATATCCACTTCCCGCTCGAGGCCGCCATTTTGACCGCCGCCATTTTGAAAAGGACTGACTTTTCTGGAAAACCAATGCCAGAATCGTTTTTCTCATCTCGAAAAACCCTAGGATTCCGAGTTTCACACCAATCCGTCAATAAACAACGGAGATGCCAAATTTCCGCCATTTTGAACTTTGACCGGCCGCCATTTTGTCAAAAATGAACATTTTGACCTGCGGTTTGCGCCCAAAATTTTCTTTTTTTATTATATTTTGAATGAGGTATCACAAAGGGGGGGTTGCTATTTGAAAAAAAAAAGTTAGCCCCCGCCCCCCTTAAGGGGGGCCGCCCCCCAAAATTTTGGGTGGACCAAAAAGTTGCTACCTTAGACCGAGGAACATTCCCAAAGTTTTAAACTTCTATCTCAATTTGGAAAAAAGTTACAGGGGTGGTCAGTGACTTTTGGATAACCCTGTATAGGTGCGTCACGTTTATTCCACTGCGTCAAATCTATTTTTTTTCCTTGTATCAAATTAAAAATTGTAAAAAAAAATTATGTAAACTCGGCGCAGAAATTGTTTTTGTAATATGTAATAACGGTTACACATGTTTCAATTTGTTTAAGTAACTCCAAGGCGAATCTATAGAAAACACCGAAGTTTTTAAGTCACGCGATGTTTTTCTTTGAAAGAATACCGATTAGGTGGCTTCTTTTTTTACAAAAAAATATTACATATCAGGTCCAAAAAATACGGTTCACATTCGGCAAGAAAACAATTCAGAAATACAAGTAGTTTTCTATTATAAAAAAAGGAAATTGTAAGTATAGAAATTGCAAATATTAAATTAATTAACAAATCGTATGAAGTTTTTTTTTTTTTTTGAAAAAAAAAAAACTTTTTTCAGTGGGATGGCAGTTTTAATGATAATGGAATTTCAACTCCGTTCCGCAGAATCCGTTACGGATTTTCTAATTTCTGAATTTAGTTTTTTTTCAGTCTTTCCAATGAGGAAATTAGAACCAAGCAACTTACTTGTTTTAAAAATTAAAATTCTTTAAACCTGTTCCGCACAAAATAATTTCATTTCATTTGGCAAAATAGCTCGGAAACTGCAATTTTTCGCCCATTTCTAGAATTGAGACCTTAACCGTTTTCCAAATTGTCCTGAAAATATCCCCTTTTTTTGAAGAAAAAGAAAATGAGATTAAAGGACAGTAAAAAAATGAAATAATTCTTTACCGAAATGGATTGCCTATCTTATTTCCATCGGACAACTGAAATTCCGGAACAACCAGAGTTTCTTCTGAAAAGGTTGGATCCGATTCGACACATTCCTTTCCAGAATTTTACTTCAGTATATAATATAAATTTTATATCAACCTTATGTAATATAGACTAATTGTAAACGGAATGAGCGCAGGAATACTAATGATTATCGTCAACCTTACCCAACCGAATGTCTCATGTGCACCCCAACAGTTTACCTCTACATATCACCAATATTCAGTTAAATATGAAAAATGTATCACATAATATAGAACTCGAAGACTCGAAGATATAGCTCATTGCCGTTAAAACTCCTTCAATCTCGCATAATACAACACGCACGGCAGTACAAGGTCTCAAAGATTCTCCATTTAAATTGAGGATTTTTCGGTATTTTGAACAACTGTTTTTGTGATAATTCAACAAAAACTTTACTGATAATATACTGATTTTTAATACTGATGTTTTTTTTTCCCTGTTTCAGAGCTTTTGCACGGATCCTTTGCGTGTGCTGTCCTAGAAAATTCCGTCGAAGACATAGGCCACCTATCCGCTGTAGACCAAGTCAGGTAATTTAATATTATAAATTTATCTCTGTTTGATCACTGTTAGCTTAAGATTAACATAAATCACAAATAAGAGAACGAAAAAAAATATGGGAGTCTTTTGGGGGTCTTTCAACCCAAAATTACAGTGGACTTAGTTTCATATGTAACCTAATTACACAAATTAAAAGAAGTTTAAAAATAAAATTTTCGCATTTATATCATTTTTCTCCAGCGACCAACGGCTTACGAGATAATAGCCTTTTTGGAGTAAAATTGGTAATACTGATTTTGAGTAGTTTTCTTAAACTTTGATTGGTGGGAGGAAAACCAAAATTGTGGGCAGCATTGAAAATAAGGTGTGCAATTTTTCAAAACTTCAGAAGACCATAGCTTTGCAGGAAGGCGTTTTTGGAGAAAAGTCATACCTCCATCCAGAGAATTGAACCATGAATTATCCATTACAGTGACTCTTCAGTATTTTGGAGTACGAGTCGGTAGTTCGATCAATTAATAATTTCTGGTAACTATATAACATATCTCAAGAATTTTCGAGCATCGCATTACGCTGCAGTAAATCAGATATCTGTACACAAGAAAACACTTTTAAATCCCTTTCAGTACTCGTCCCGAGAGAATATTATAAATTGGAGGACGATTTTGCGATTTTTACTCGCTTTGTACTGTCGGAGTATCTCAAAGTGTGGACACGGTCGAATTTCGTGTGAAAATACATGACGTTCCACAGCGTGATCAGTGACGAGGTGTGAATGGTCGATTATCGATTTTTCCCCCTTCTGAAGCTATGGTAAAGAATCGATTATTAAAAAGTTCGTTGCAAAAACCCTGTTTATCGACCCTTTTTCATAGGTTTAAATGGCAGATCAATCGATATATCGCAAAACACGCCGCGCCATTGAGCGTGATATGCTGCTTGAGATTCCTAAAGAAATGTCTTAATATTCAGAAATTACCAATTGATAGATCAACAATCGAATTGTTCTCCCAAAAGCTAAAGACTCACCTCACCTCTACGCCATTAGATACGTCCTACATTTCCGGGAGCTTATGGGTGTCTGTTTTGCTCTCTTTTGCAGTACATGGGTGCATCTGTCGTGTTAGCACCAACCACAGTCACCTACGCCACAGTGAGTCAACACGAGTACTTTAACATGTGACGACTGGACGAATTCAATTTTTAGGCGCCACTTCATGAAATTTCGAAGACAGGTTCCCTGTCTGCGAATCTCACCGGCCACCATTGATGAAGCTCAAACTTTTTAAAACATTTCGGAAAAACAGGGGTACGATCCACTGCAGCAGGATGTACTTATAATTTGTTGTATTTATCAGTGATATTCATTTTTTCCATCTTCCATGTAATATCCGACCAAATTGTCCTTTGGAAAAAGGGCGCGTTAACTTTATTTTATTGTTTTATTTTTTTTAGTAGAAACGTCCTGATAACAAAGAAAGCTCCAGATCTATACAAACAGGTGTTAATGGCACCAATTATTTCTTTACGTGTGCTTAGGTAATATTTTTTTTTATTTTTATTTTTTTCATTATCGATTCGTCCGTCATTTTTAATTATCAAAACACAGTAGTGAGGCGTGAACTGAAAATTTTGAAAGGAGAGGTATCAAAATAAAGGAAATAGAAGTGGAATGTCGTGGAGAAAAGGGTAGCAAAACAATGTTGTCAGCTGTTCTTACCTGTGCCCTTGTAATTTTGACTGGAAGCCAATTTTTCCAAAGGTCAATTTAGTGATTGCTGACCCTTAATCGAATTTGCTGAAAAATGTGACTCAAACAGAAGCTCGTGATGTTTTTTTTCTCTCTCTCTCTCCTTATTCTTCAATTCCTCACTTTTTTATTTTATTTTTAAGCATACCAACTCACACTTGCTAAAAATTGACCCAAACGCTTAAGGTAGAGGGTTGTAAACGGAGTTAATATCTGATCTGATCGAGAATATTTTATACTTTTGAACTTTTTAAGTTAATGAAAAAGAAGAGGAGGAAGAATAATTAACAATGATGAAAGTTGAACTATCATTAATTTTGGCGTAATTTTTATGTAATAGCATGTGACACGGCCTTTTATATTTTAATTTTTTTAAGTCTCTACTGTTAAATTTTTATACTTTAAAATTTTGGAGTTATCATCCCTTAGGTGTTCTATTTCCTATTAAAAATTAAATCAGCCGCTTTACATCGCACCATCTTCTTTATGATTTAAAGAAAATTTGGAATTGGAGAGGAGCATTTATGCCGAAAAGCCAGTCATGATATGGATCCGTTCAGTGTTCACGTCTGCAAAGACCCCAAAATCTCCGAGTCTTCGTTTTTCCTGTCAATAACAACTTCCAGGGATCATGAAATTTTGGATTTTGAGTCTTTTAAAAAAAAATGAGTTCGTGTACCTGTACCTCGTGATCCACTATGACGTTTAGAATTTCATTATTTGTTGTCTTTTTTTTCTAAAGAACATGAAAGTTAGGTACATGAATGCTCACTCCCATTAATCCGATTCCAAATTCGAAAGAGTTATAAGAATCTGATGTTAACTTCCTGCTTTTATAATTGTTAAAAAAAGTGAATATAATTCGAATCTTCTCCAGAAGAAAGGCAAGGCTAGCCGCTCTTTATAATTGTTCCGGTTTGTAAACCCGGAAAATATCAAGCACTCTGTGATTTTTTTCGTTCAAGGCATGAGTTTAGAACGGTGGGCTTAAAAAAACAATAAAATTAAGAGATCATATTTGCTCCCACATCTCGCGAAAATGTTGCAAAGTTTTCATTGAATCTATGGTATTATGGTATTTTTACGTCAGGAAAATTTTGAAATGCTATCATTTTGAAAACTACATTGACTGTAGGGTACTTAAATTTTACGACAAGTATGATTTTTTGGCACCGGACTAAACTCATTACCATGTAGACTCATCAGCTTTAGAGGCGGATCCAGCCATTTGGCAGCACCGAATTTCCTCCCTTTAAAACTATGTTAAACAATCGATTCTCGTCGGAGCACCTGGCCCCTCCGGCAATCGATACATTTTCGGAGGTTTAAATGGAGAAAAACCAGTGTTGCCAATTTTCTGGATCCGCCAATACTCAGCTTGAAATCGCTGTGCGTTGAACATCTTCAACGTATTACTAATTGTATTAATGTTAAACCTATTTTAATATCTCCTTTGTATCGTTGTTTTGTTTGATAAAATTTCTTTTTTCTAAATAAAAGTATTTAAATTCAAGCTCTACACGTTTTTAATCTAATTAAATCCACATAGTTCCAATAGTCTCTAAGAGACAATAGGCTCATTTCAAGTAATTTATGAAATTCAGTACTACTATACTATTTATGGCAGTTCCACGGAAGCACCTGTCAGGAAACGAAATGGCATAAACAATTTCTCTAAAATGAGCAAGAATTAGTAGTTTCTCATCGCAAAATGTAGTGTATGTAGTCGCACAAACCAGCGGGCTGATCATTGAAATTGATGGACAAAGCATTAGACGAAGGAGACAAAAAGGATATGGAGGGATCCTATTGATGGAAGCGGGTGGTTGCAGTGGACATTAGGTGGTAGGTAATAAACTAATTAACGGCAACCCACGAGTGACTCGATAGTAAGTCCATCATCTAACCCCCCCCCCCCCCCTACTCCACAGGGCCGGATTAAGGGGGTGGCCACATGGGCCGCGGCCTATGGCGGCAAAATGTAGGGAGCGGCTGATTTTGCAATCTTTTTGAATGTAGGTATCAAAAAAAGAGAAATAATCGGATTCTGAAAATAAATTATAAACGAGAAAAGGCGACAAAATCTCTCATTTTCCTGAGGGTAAAAGTATAGTAATTTCTAATTTTGTCGTCTTTTGGTGATACAAGAGACAACACCTTTAATTAGTCGAGTTAAAAGAAAAACCAAACACGCAATTTAACCTTGAACGGAGTGGCTTAGAGAACAATGATAACGAGGGCTGAGATGAAAAGGAGAAGCCCTTGGCGCTGCGGTCAACATGAAACGCATAGCGCCTACAATACTGCATGAATATTTCACGCATTGCGTCAAACAGTGCGGTCAGCAGCGGTCGGCATGAAACGCATGGCGCCTACAAGACTGCATGAATACTTCACGCATTGCGCCAAACATAGTGCGGTCAGCGCAGAGGCGGAAGTTAAAATTGTTAAACGATATTTATGTTTGTTCTTTCATCATTTTTTCGTTCGTTTGTTATAAATGGAAGGCCTTGTCCAAACAGGGATTGTATTCTTTGCCTTTCGCTTTGTCTATAAATTTCAATAATCGGTCCGCAGGCATTTTTCTTGCGCATCACTTGCGCATATTTCTTTTCTGACGGAGGTATCAATTCTCCTACTACTGCTAGTCAGCATCGTTTTTTTGCAAAATTCCGTCTAATGCTCATTCATGGTAACATTTTGAAGATAATTGTACGAAAATCTGGTCTTCACTTCTCTCGTTGGTGACACGGCAGTATCGCATTAGCATGTCTCCTCTCTTTGACCTAGCTTCAGCACCAACCAAATCGCCGCAGGCTCTCAATCAGTGTGATTTGGACTGCTTTTAGCAGAGAGGAATCAAGCCCCATCGGCTGTTGCCAAATGTAACCGGCAACTTCAAATTTTACAGGAGAACGTTAATGCGGATTCCTCAGGAAATTTTAAGGAATTTGCCTCGCACTATACAGAAAATGTATTGAAATTTGCACAAAAATCCGCACAATCGTTCTCATGGGAACTGAGCCTTCCTTAGTTGGATAAATACAATGAAAAATGGTAAAAATCTAAAATAGTACCCGGCTGTACCTTTCAAAGCGAGAATGAAAAATGAGATATGGTAGACGCTCCGCAGCCCGTGACAAAGGCATACAATAAAAAACAATTCAAAAACATTCTCGCTTTGAAAGGCACAGCCAGGTACTATTTTAGATTTTTCACCAACCGAGTGTTGATCCAAACAGCATATCTCTGTGTGGGAAAATTGTGCTTGTGTGTGAGCTTTTTCCATCTCTAATGAGATTTCAGCTTTAAGCTGGACTTTTTACGCACGGTGGCTAAAAACTTCCAACATCCCATTTTTCTTTTTATTCATCCAATTGAGGAAGGCTGAGTTTTCAGCTGGAATGTTTTGGTTTTATTCGTGAAATTTTAGCCTTGCTACCCGTTTTGTAAAATGTTCTTTTTACTGTATTTCTGATCAACGCGGTCCATTTGACACCGCGATCTCAGAGCCGCTGACCGTGGAACTGGTCTGATAACACTCCGGCGCCGAACCAGCTGCGTGGATGCGAAAAGGTCCAGCTGTCCACTCCACCGCATCACAGATGCCGATTTCATGACCGGATCTGACAAGTAGATACGTTTTCGACGATTTAGCCGTCTCTTGAAAGTCTCTCGGTGAATCCGTGGCAACACTGATTCGATCGGCCTCAAATTATCAACGTGAACTTTTCACTCAACAACGCGGCGACTCAACAGTCATCGTGTTGAGTGCTGAAATTCGAGTGGTGCCGGCCGAATGCGTTTCGCGAGCACGAGCGATTTTCCGTTCGTGATTGAGATATTCATTTGTGGGACCGACGTGTTAGCTTTGCGCTGTTGCTCAAACTGAGCTACTTTGTACTTGATTTGTACCTAAACTAACTCACCAAGTCGCATCAAGTTTGATTAGAGAAAATGAGGTTTGAAGTTCCATTTCACCATAGCTTCATTAGACTCAGAATTAAGGACAAATTTGAACGAATATCGCCGCGTTCGAAATATATTTCCCGAGTTTTGAAATGAGAAAATTTACAAGCTGTTCTATTTGAAAGAGCTCCTAACTTATTTTTTTCGACTCGGTGCGTTTCTTATTAACACGGTCCTCAATGAAGCAGCTTTACAACGATTTTTACCCCCAACATCTGATCCCAACATCTGAAAAACTTTCATTCAAGTTTCCACAATAATTTTACACCGATGTGTTTGAATTGTAATTGGTCGACTTTGTAATTGATTGACAAACTTTGTTGATTATTTGATAAATTATATACAAAGTTTGCAAAACCTGAGCAACACTGCAATGTTAATGTGTCGTCTCTGCAAAGAAAATCCCAATATCGCGACAGTGAATTTTAACAAGTCGCGTTACTTTTCGAGATCAACGGTGCGATTGAGGTGATGATTGGGCTACTTTCATCGAAAAAAACACCCAACGGTGCTTATGTTCTTCTTGTTACAGTGTTAATCAAATTTTTAAACATAAAGAGCGAAGATACAAATGTGCATACCCCAGCTCGATGGCTTATTATGATATGATATTCATTTTATTTTGTGCGTGATGGTCATCCAATTGACAATAAAATTGCAGTGTCCAACGGAAATTTCCCCGGTTTTGAGTGTTTAAGTGATCGAAACGTCAAACATGAAGAGGAAATGAGTGAGGAAAAAACTGATCATACCTCTTTGCTGGCTCTCTGTAATATGTTTTCGACTTCGTTTATTTTGATGTAATTTTCCGCATAAAGGGATGGAATACCCTTCTCAATATTTCAAATCCCCGCAGACCATTTTTCTTTTAGAGTTCAAAAATCTGTGATAACCAAGGGGTTATCAATAAAAACTCCGCATTTTTTATTTTTATATTTTTATTTCCTCTCTCTAATGTATTAATATTTTTCTATACATTTCTTGAGAAATGGCTCGTGATGGAATTATTACAGCTTCAATTTGGTGTTTATTCGTTTTGCAGAGGCTTGCCTCGGCGAAAGGCAACCCCACCCAACCTCACATCATATTCATCATCGCAGACGATCTTGTAAGTGTATTTCAAGCTAAATATGAAATGAAAGGAGTCGCTTTTTTGTTTGCGAATTTTTTGAGGACTGTAAATCATCAAGTAGTTAATAGAAGGATTTCGCGAAACTGAATTTGATATTTTCACGTTTCTGTGTTAATATTCCACAACAACTTGCGCCTGTGATTGCTAGAGTACTTAAAAACAGTATTTTTGTTTCATTTTCAATCGATGACAGCTTCCTAATAGAAAACAATTAAATGAAGTGGGGAACCGATGGAATTATAAATTCAATTTTATAGATAACATTGATGCTGAAGACGTATCGTGCAGTGGCGAAGCGTGAATGATCGATTATCGATATTTCCCCATTTGAAGCTATAGTTAAAAATCGATTTTTAAGGTGTTCGTTGCCTACACTCTGTCTATCGATCCTTTTCCATTGGTTGAAATGGCAGATCAATCGATATATTGCAAAGTACGCCACGCCACTGGTATCGTGAACTGGAATATTATTTATAATCGATGCGGTTGTTAACTTGAATTTTCGAGGACTAGATCCAATTTGATGAGCCAAATATAATAAATCCGTACTTTTTAAGAACTTTAAGAACTCGAGGGTCATGTTAGATAATGCAGTCATAATAATGTTAAATACTCAAATAATTCGTCATAGATTCTTTTCTAGGGTACACTTATACATCCTCCTAGCTGTAAAAATAACGCGATCCATTCAACTACAGTTATTTTATTACAAACTGATTAATTTCAACCAGCATTTTTTACACCATTTCCTCAGCAATAAGTCTAAATAATTCAACCTCATTTTAAACTGATCGAAAATTGATTAAACTGTTTTATCCATAATCACTTTTAAAAGTAAATAATCGTCTGTAAAAAGTGTGTGTATCCTTCACATGAATTATCATACGTTATTAAGAAGAATTGATAATTCTATGATAAAAATTAGAAAAATCGTGTACCTATAACAAATCATTGGGGTGCACATTTTTTCTTCAGATACCAATAAATTAGTGGCGTTTATTGACAGTTAATTTGATCGAGAATTTGAAACACATGAGCATGCACCAAATGAACATCATCTAACTATACCTTTAATATAAAATCATAAGGTTTACGCGTAACGCACACAGTTAAAAAAAAATGGACTTGTGTATTATTGTGTAGTTGTTTTTAGGAATTTCAGTGTACTTCTTCTGAAAATCTTGGAGTAAAAATACTCGAGGTGGAGAAAAAGTGCACAATCTCGATGAATAAACACAAATAACAAAAAAATGCTTACAAAAATTACTCAAGGGATCTTCTGACTGAGTGAAATCGTAGAACTTTGTGTTTTCAAAATAAAAACACAACACTTGCAACATATTCTGAGCTCTTAAGAAAAGATGCACAATAATTTCACGACTCTGTGTTTCTTTTCATTAACGAGAGAGAATGTTTTTACGGTCCTAAGAAAATATTCTTACGTCGGTGTTGTTTTGCACACTCGTAGACTAAAACATCATGGTGCAAAGAGAAATAAAATACAGGCAATCTCGAGAAAAAAACTCAAAACGGTTGGGCAGCAGAACCTCTGTGGGTTAAAATAAATTAACCAATTGGGAGAAAAAATACTCTACTAGTATGATTAAGTTCTGAAATGATGTAAAGAAATACACTACAAATATATGAAAGTGCACGAGTTTGTGCACAAATTAACAGCTCTGTGTGTTAATGCTCATTTTTCGTGTGTAAAAACACAGTGGTTGTGTATATATTTTGGTTCACGCATGCGCAGTAAGTCCCCGTCTCGCAACGCAGATACCCATGATCCTCAGTTAGAGCGTGCGCGATCCGCGAGACCCATGTCCAAGTGAATTGTGCAACCCAGGTCGAGTGTTCTTCCGTTGTATATTTTTAACGTATTAAGCATTCCATTGCGTGATATACTTATTGTGTTTGAACGATAGCATCGTTACGAAAAGGCTCCGCTGCCTTATACTTAGTGATTTATAGTGATTACGAATGGAAAGACGAATGAACAACTAGCATACACTGTTAAAAATCTTTCGGGAAACCCGGAGTTGAAATGCGGAGTGACCTGAGATGCGCAGTGAAAATCACTCCGTCGCGGAGTTCGGAACTCTCCATGAAAGTGAATTGCCGCGATAGCGAGACAATGTCGCTGCAGCGAATCAGTTGTTAACTCCCCACTTTTACCTGGAGTGATTTTCACCCCGAGCAGAGAGTGCGCCATTGCGCGCACTATTGCACAAACGCGACCCATGAGAATAAGAGGCTTGATTTCAGCCTTATCAACCATCCGACCCTCGAGGCTCAGTGGCAGAGCACTGGACTATCACCAACGCGGCTCGGGTCCAAATCAACGCGGGAGCGCTCGGAATTTTACGCTACAAATCGTCGCAGGATCTAAGGTAAATGGTTAATGTTGTCATTACTAAGGTAATCCGAATTTCAATTGTGATAAACTTGTAGAAACCCGTATCTAATGTTCATGGCAAGAACTTCCATGTCTATTTGACAGCGTGCGCTGAGTATGTCGTATAAAGTAGTTCAGTCATTAATTGACAGATAGCGCTATCGGCGTAATTTCGTGAAATTTTGAAACCCTGCGCGGTAGCGGCGCGTGAATTCTTGTAGCAGCATATTGCCCCTTCCTCGAGCCTCCCCTTACCTCTCCTGAAATCACTCCTTTGTGTGGTGATTAGCACCCTGTGGTCGGGGTGCATTACACGCCGAGTTCAGGAGTGTTGTTCCCTCCGCGCCGTCGGTCACTCGTTCGTATTTTCACTCGATTTTTCCATGGGCAAAATAGAGGCGAAGTAAGAGTGATTCTCACCCCGGAATCTTCTAAAATTTCTAGCAGTGTAGCCACATGGCAACACTGTCGAGTTTGGAGAAGCGTACATCCGGACGGAACCTAGAAATTTTTCGGACACGTTTTATCTGTGTACAGATGTATAATTCTCTTCCTAATGATTTTAAGGATCTACCTCGTGAAGGTAACTTAGTAGCAATTTTCTATCAATTGAAAACGTTCTGTTTAGTAGGAAATGCATAAGATTCAAAAGAGTTCTTATAG